GTTGCTATCAATGAGGTCTTCTGTTCCGGCTCAGTATCAATCACTCCTCTAGAGGGCGCTGGTGTCATTGTTGACATTAGTTGGGTTACAGCTCAGTTATCTTAGTTCTCCTTTTGCCTCCTAAGAACGTGTGGAAATGCTCTGATCCCTGTTTTAAAGTTAAACGTTTTAAAGTTAAACGTTTCTTAAATGTACTTTGATAGGTTTTTTTTGTGTGTGTGAGGAAGATCACCTCTGAGCTAACATCCATGCTAATCCTCTTTTTTTTTTTTTCCTGCTGAGGAAGACCGGCTCTGAGCTAACATCTATTGCCAATCCTCCTCCTGTTTTTTTTCCCCCAAAGCCCCAGTAGATAGTTGTATGTCATAGTTGCACATCCTTCTAGTTGCTGCATGTGGGACGCGGCCTCAGCATAGCCAGAGAAGCGGTGCCTGGGTGCGTGCCCGGGATCCGAACCCAGGCCACCAGTAGTGGAGCACGAGCACTTAACTGCTAAGCCACAGGCCGGCCCTGATAGGTTTTTTAAAAATCACTTTCTACCATGGCCAATGATTATTTGTTTTGGAAGGATGCAACTAATTTCCAGGATGCCTTTTAAATCTCATCACCCTTAAAAATCAGCCTTTAAAATAAATCTGTGGCCTAAACACATTTAGCAGATAAAAAGAGAACCTGGAAAATTCCTATATGTACTAATATTTATATCTAGTCTTCAAATGATATGTTTTATTTTCACCATCTTCTTATAAATCACCATCTCTTGAAACAGATATCAGACCAGTGGAAGGACTGTCTAGATATACAGTATCTAGTCAGATTAAAAGAAGCAATTTTCCCGTTGAAGTTTTTACAAATTACAATATGTCACTTGTGATCTGCTAACATAGGGAGGTCATGTCAAGTGCACAAATTAAACTATATTTGAGAAATTTTGGAACCAAACTGGGAAAAAAATCTGAAATAAGATATAATGGCTGAATTTTTAAGATAGTCCTTGTATAATTCTTACATTTCTCAGTTTGGATAAAAAGGAAAAAAAAGCTTTAAATAAATGATTGTTCTTCTAGGTCTTTGCAAATGCCTTACTGTTCTACAACGGCTAGTATTTGTTGAGTGCTTATACTACGTGCCAATTCACTCTTCCAAGCATTTTACCTGCATTAATTCATTTAATCCTCAATGCAACTCTATGAGGTATGTACTTTTATTATCCCCATTTAACAGAGAGTTTAAGTATCTTGTTCAAGGTCACACAGCTAGAAAGTAGTTTGACTTGGAGCTGACTCACGCAGCCTGGCTTCAGAGCCTACACACTTTCTTTCATTATGTCTGTAGTGTCTCATGTCTCCTAACCTTCAAATGCACTCACCTATGAATGTTACATCGCAAATATCTACTCAGTAACCCTCCAAGTATAAAGTGCGTGAAGAAAGAATTATCTTTCATTTGATTTTCATTTAAAAGACAGTATAGCTTCATGAGAAAAACACAGAATCCAGAAGTAGATGGCTGAGTTGGCACCCCAGCAATGTGACTTTGAAGAAGCTACTCAACCTGGAGGTGTCATGATTTCTTTCATAAAACAAGGCTGATGATAGCAATGGTACCTATCACATATGGTTGTTTTGAGAATCAAATGAGTTAATACATAGCACTTGGAGCAGTGCCTGATGCAGAGTAAATACTTTATAAGCCTTTTTCTTGTTAGCATTATTTAATCTGCTCATATCAAAATGTCTAAAACGGTTTAAAAATAGTGACAATGAGCAGATAACTTGATGAGCAGATAACTGGTGCTCTGTTGATGTTAGTGATTTGAATCTGAACCAAAAACAAAGGTAAGAAAATATTTAATCAAATCAAATATTTAATCAGTTTCTCTAAATGTGAGATTCTTATTGTAGTATACACATTCCAAGATTTGTTTGGCTAATGAGATCCAGAAATACCTGGGAGCTTCAGCTTATATCAGGCTGCCAATTAATTAACTTCCGGGGAGAGTCCATGAGTAATTGTTATGGCATGAAAATTCCAGTGTTTTATGACCCACTCCACCTCAGGTAACTCAGTTCTCCTAAACACACTGCAGTAGCATTTACTGATGTAGGTACTCCGCATGCATGATATTGTCCAATCCTACCAACACGGCGGGGATATATGCTCTTATCACTATTTTAGAGACATGGAAGCATATCCAGAGTCGCTCAAGCAGCAGTAGTTAGGGTCTGCATTGAGGCTCAAGTTATCACAAAGCACGAGCTCTTTCTATTGCCCATGCTAACCACAGTTAAAATCCATAAACAAACAGATCGAAGCAGTGGAAAAAGGAAGAAAAGTGGTGTTTTAGGGTCTCTTCCACCAGTTCGAGGCAAATCATTCAAGTTCTCGAGGGCACAGGGTCAATAGAACAGGGACACCAAACTACTTTTCTGAGACAGGCTGAACCAGTGGACTTGCAGTATCTTTCAGGCCTATGATAGTTATTATTTTCTGATTTTTCTTGTTTATGTATATGTATTCATTGAGCATCTAATATGTGCAAGGCCCTGTGCCAGGAGTTACAAAAGATGAACAAAAAATGAAACAGGGTATAATTCTTTGGATCATTTGAGACTAATGATGATAGTGAACCATGGACCCCAGAAGTCTGCCCCCTAGTGGGAGAGAAAGTCATGGTCAGCGAAGCAGGCCCAAGTGCCAGAGGAGAAACGCAGCATGGCCAGTTCAGAGGAGGCAGGGAGCATCATCAACTGGGGCTTTGGGGAAGACTTCATGGTGGAGTGCCATTTGAAGTGAGCTTTAAAGGAGGTGGAGAGAGGACATTCTGGGGGGAAGAGAGCACAGGAAGAGGCAGGGAGGTGGCAAACCATGAAGTGTTTTGATGAAGTAGTGATCTTTTGATTCGGGTGAAGCGCAGAATACTGAAAGATAAGGCTAAATTAGATTGCAGTGCCAGGTTAAGTAGATTAGGTTGCTTTTGAATGAAAAGGAAAGTCTTTAAAGCTTTTTAGCATGGATGTGAATGCTCAGAGCTGTACTTTAGGAAGATTAATCCGTACGGTAGGTCAGTTTCGAGTCTAGGGGCCTGAGAGAACACTGGTACCATTGATGGAAAACAGGAAATCAGAAGGAGCTGGTTTTACCACCAACCCATTCACAATTATATGTATTTCATTTGAAAACTACGGAAATGCAGAACTGGACTTTGGGAGAAGGGACAGACGAGATCATGTCAATTTGTCAAACATAAGTGAAGCTGTGCTATGGTGATTGCAAAGGAGTGTGCCAGGGAAGGTAAAGGACAGATCTCAGAGATGTAAACATCTAGCTAGCAGGCACAAGAAAGAAGCCAGTAAGAGGAGAAGTAGAAAAGGAGCAGTCAGAAAAATAGTGGAAGCAGCAGGAGAATGCAGGGTTTGGGGGTAATAAGAGAGAATTTCAGAAAGTAAATGATGACTCATTAAGTTGTAAGATACAGGTAAGATAACCTAATTCAATATTCCCCACAACAGGTGTGGTGTAGTGTTGCACACATTCTTGGTGTTCAATAAATGTTGAATGAAGATCTATATTGTGCAATGCTACACAAAATTTGAGGAGTGTAAAGACTGTGGAAAGACCATGCATTTTCATGATCAGGACATCCCTGGTTATTGCCAACCTTTCTGTTTTAAGGAAAATAAAGGACAAAGATCTTCTTCATAGCAAAGATTAAGGCAGGTACAACACTGCCTCTAGGCCATATGTTCTGTTGGACCACGAATGTAAAAATGTCTGTTTTTTTCATATTACATATTGTCACTCAGAATTCTGCCTGTTTGTATGGGTGAGTGTGTTTGAGAATATGTGTGATAGTGGGAGGCGGAGACCACCAAGATGTCCATCCCCAGAGAAGAGATGAGTCCAATGTGAGGGTGCACACAATGATAGTATGCAGCTGTCAGAAGCCTTGTATGAGATGGACTGATGGTACCACAGTTGTATCTTGTAGATATAGTGTCCAAGGGAAAGAAATAAGAAAGAGAACAAGAACCACAGCACAATAACACCTATGTAAATAAACACACACATGAAACAACGCTGTTCAACATAACCCAAGGATACATGCGTGGGCCAAGACGTGCATTAGAGTGGATGTCTCCTGGGGGTAGTGAGGGAATAGACATAAGAATCAGGGTGAAGGGGAAAATAAAACAAGAGAAAGACCTTGAAAGGTCAATCATGAGGTGTTTGATTCGTGCTTTGTAGTGGACATCAAAAGAAAAAAGGGGACATATGATGGAGGCACTTTTTGCAAATTTCAAAAAACTAAATGCAATAAAAGGCTCACACAATACGCAGTGGAGTGACTACATAGGTTTTACATTTATTATGATCATCGGCAAACAAAAAAATACAGAAGTAACATATGCTATCTATAGTAAAATTCATGCATATCACAAGGCCTATTAACTTGGGCCTCAATTCAAAGTGACATCAGGTGTGTTGGGAGCAGCACGAAGGGTGGGGAAATGTATTATGGTCAGAACAGGGTACACAGGGTTCCACCCACAGGATCTTCCAACACAAAAAAGCATACCAAATGGTAGAACCCAATCTGATTCTTTATTGTCTAATACATTACATATTATATAATTATCAAGCAGGAATCCAGTATCGACATTTGTATTCTAGCTTAACAGTTACAGTTATTACTCCTTATCATTAAAAATGTCATTCTAGCAATTAGTTTTCTACCCATTCAAACAATGAGAGGTAAAGTCCAACTTGAACATGTCAGCAAGTATATTCCCAATACATAGTGACTGGCAGAAAATATGAATATATATATAGAGAGAGAGTTTATTTTTATATAGAATGCAGGAACCATGATTTCACATGTGGTGAAATCAGAATCAGATTTCTGCTTTTTCCTCACTCTTTCCAAATTGGAAATTAGACCCCGAAAGTCACGCAAACCATCCCCGCATCAGAAGCCCTGTTGCATTGGGTAATTAATGCTAAGGGCAGTGTGTTTTTGCCTTTACTGCTCTCAACACAGAATTCCATTTGCTGCTCCTTTGTTCTAACTGCTCTTTTTTAAACCTGTCTTGAAAAGAACTATGGTTATCTTCATCCTCTGTCTCAGAGATGATTTCCATCTTCTGAATGATGAGTTTAATGAGTTCATGCTGTTTTTCCAGAAGAGAAGTGAGATCCTTCAACCTAAAAGAACATACACATTTCATGAATTCATATTCAATTACCCTTTTAGATCTTTTGAGTGCAGAAAGGCATAGGTACTAGAAGTGTTCTGTATCAGATGAACTGTGCTCAGGTTATAGCCTCACAGTAGTCATAATCCTTCTAAGGAATACATATTTTTAAAGTTTAAGTGATTTTCCTAAGGTTACATTGTTAGTTCATGCCAAGTTTACTTTTGTTACCATTTTAAAGATTAAAACACTGTTGTGCAGAAAGGTTAAGTGACTTGCCCAGGGTCATACAGTTAGTAAACAGCCCAGTAGGCTTTTGAACTCAGTAAATAAACCCTGAAGCACTCATGCTTAACCACTGTACACTATATAGCTTATCGAGGGATCCTCAAAACCTTTTAGAGCTTTGATGTATGAATTCCAATGGCTCACGAAGAATGCGGTTCACTGATGGGCAAACTCACTGGTGAACAGCAGCAAATAAGTTGTTGCGTCTAAAAAATGTCTCATGATTTCCAATATACTAGCAACATCAGTCAATTAAAGCATGACAATATATGAGATATGTAAACACAGATATACAGTATAACCTTACACTATGCATCATTTAAGAGTTTTAAGTTTCTCAAATACAGATAAAAGGAAAAATACCGGTATTTCTGCTTCAATATTTCTGTTTCTAAAGATGTATCAGCATTTGGTATTTCTTGTCTTGCTTCTTGGGTGCAAAAGATATAACAATACAAACGCTACGGGATAAAAGATTAACAGTTACTCAAGTTGAACTCAATTCAGGAACTAGTTCTTGGACTTGTGCCATAAATCAGCTCCCGAGCCAGGCACGCTGGCACCAACACTCTAAGTCACAGCCGTGGCCCTCAAGGAGCTCAGGCCATTGAGAGAAACAGACATGCAAAGAGCTAGAAACAAAGTCATACACATTATAACAGAGGAATGCACAAGATGTATAAATAATATAGACGAAGGAGTAAACCCAAGTGTGGGATTGTTTAGGAAAAGGTTTAACCAAATCATTTTACATTTTCTCATGAAAAAATGAAAAATTATAACCAGTGGTATTCCATACAGGATTAGTTGTTAATCCTCTAAAACTGCTCTGCACCCTTAATCAGCACAATGGAATTTTACATGGAGAAATTTCCGAAATGCTATTTTAGTATTTTTTTAAATTTAGTGTCTTTTAAACCATTGGTGGACTGGAGAGGGTCAAGGACAGATGTGAAATGACCAGGAACGAGGTGATTCTAGAAGTCCAGGCAGGAGAAGATGACCGCTTGCAGAGGCCACCCAGGAAGTGGACCAGACACGCATTGATTAGGTGTGAGGAGAGAGGGAAAGAGAGAGGATATGTCAAGAACGACATCTTACACAGGCACATGGATGACGTTAACTGAAATAAGAAACTTTGGAGAAGGATGGGGCTTTTTCACTCTTTCCCTGTAGGCTATGTCAGGAGGGTGGAGGGAGGACCATGAGTTTGTTTTGAACACACTGAATCTGAGGGACCTTTGAGACACACCAGTGAAGCTGTCAAGGAGACAGCTGGATACAGGAGCCTGGAACTCAAGGGAGAGCTCCAGGCTAGAGAAGCAAGCTGTGGAGGCTTCTGGATTCAGGAAGTAACCGCAACCACAGATATGAGTGAAATCAGATTGGAAGACAGTGCAGACTTACAATGAAGCCTAGGCTGATACTCACATTGACTGTATCATTTTAGGACTACACAATGGAAAATTAACCTACAAAGAACTCAGAGAGACTATTCACAAGCCCGGGAGGGAGCCCAGGCAAGGTTAAGATTAGCATCCAGTACTTTTGACTCTTAGTATGGTCCCTTTTCCATTATAACACAACGGCCTTGCTTAGTCTTTGACACTTTGTATATTTTCTATAATGTACACTCCCCACGTGTGTGTGTGTATCTGTGTATATATACATGTGTGTTCTATATATGCACATACACACGTATGTCTGCACATATATGTGACATATGACTAGGAAAAACAAATGAGGTGTACTTGCACTGTAAAAAAGATACTTAAAGGGTATGGCTCGTCCACCTGCCCATCTGCTCTCACAGGGATACGGTACATATTTAACACAGATGCTGTGGATGAGCCACTTGGAAGAGGAGAACAAATGTCTCCCTCCCCGCTGCCCCTCACTTTCACATTGTGGGGAAATCATGCACTTTTTTTTTTTTTTAAGGCACAATTATTTTTTTCCCACAGGCAGAGTGATTCAAGGTCTATAAAAGAGCACCCTGAGGGATAACACGATGAATGAACGCCAAGCAGAACCATGGTATTTATGTCAGTATTTGTTACATATACTTACTAATAACGCTCCACCATATCGGGGTCTGTTGGGATACACGACAATGGATTTCTGATCCACTTTGTGTAGGAACCAGAGTGGCAGCTTCTTCTCTAAGCTGGTATGAAGTTCCACCTAAAGTGCATTTTGGATTTATTGATAGGAATCATTAATCAGCATCTGGAATTCTGACACTGCACAGAAGCAACTATTAGTACAGCAAACTGAAAACAGACTCCTGTGTCCTTGGTTCTGCACAAGCAGCTGGACCGGCCAGGTTTCCTTCCTCCCTAGCTCACCATCACCCACATGCCCCTACCTCTCGCCTCGTCCACTGACAAGACCGGGGCAGCAATCTGCAGGCGGGGGCAAGCTGTTTAAAGAAGGAATTCAATTTAAGTCAGCAGATGTGTACTGTTCAGAGACTGTGACTGACACTGGGGCTATAACGAATAAAAAGATTTAGTTCATACTCTCGGGTGTTCTAATACTACAGAATGTGCACAGCTGGGAGGGTGGATGGCATGGATGTATACCTACGACAGGAGAGAGGAAGGAACGCGTAAATGGAGGAATACAAAGGTAAGCAGTGAAAGAATTAGAAGCTGCATGTCTAAGAGTATTTTATAAATTTTTCACGCTGTGCTATCTGGTGGAAAATGGTTTATCCATGACGTATCCTGAGTATAATTTTTATTTTCACAGATAGATACAATCTTTTGTCTCCCTTAATGTTTTTACCTTGAGTTTATATTTAGTCTAATTCTCATATTTTCAACTTTTCTTTTTGTTTGCATTTGCCAAATTTCCTTTGACTCTTTTTGTATAGCCTTTGTATCTGTTGTTTAGCTATGTTTATTGTAATTACCATGTAAGTGAGATTTTGCTTTCTAATCTAAGAGCATATTTTTTTAAATGTTTGGACATTTAAGTGATTTACATTCATAAATGGTGAGATGGTAGGAATTTCCCCACCACACTGTTTAAAATCGTAGCCCCGGGGCCGGCCCAGTGGTGTAGTGGTTAAGTTCATGCGCTCTGCTTTGGCGGCCCAGGGTTCACAGGTTCAGATCCTGGGCATGGACCTACACATTGCTCATCAAGCCATGCTGTGGTGGCGTCCCACATACAAAATAGAGGAAGATGGGCACAGATGGTAGTTTAGGGCCAATCTTCCTCAAGCAAAAAGAGGAAGATTGACAACAGATGTTAGTTCAGGGCCAATCTTCCTCAGCAAAAAAAAGTAAAAAAATAAATAAAATTGTAGCCCCCCTCTCCCACATAACACACTCCCTATTTTGCTTCCTTGCTATTTTTATAGCACTTATCACGACTTAACATACTACATATTGGTTCCAGTTTCAAGAAAAACTATATTTTCCTGTATCTTATTAACAATACCAATCAGATATTTTCTCTGTAATAAATAATTTCTGTAATAAATGAGTTTCTGTAATAAATAATTTTCAGGGCTCCTTTTGTCCCTTGGGTCTTTAGGGCAATATTCCTCTCCCCCTGCTATATACGTTTTTCAGAGGTCACATGTTATCATTCACTTACTCAAACTTGATTGAAAAAGATTTATTCAAGCCTGGTGTTTGCCAACAGACAAAGCACATGGTATGTCTTAACCTTGTTCATTCTCTCCATAGGAGCTGCCAGATTTCCTCTCTCAAATATGGTCCCGGGGGAGGATGGTAAGCAAAGCCTCAAGTCCACTCTGAGTGGGTCTGGTGGGACCCACCGAGCGTGGCTCCTCCCGGCTAAGGGAGCGTCTTCACCTGCTCTGAAGGGTAAGATGCACTCCTTGGGTTGCCTTTCCTAATTTGCAGCAGGTATATAAAAGTTTACGGAGCGTCTACAGCTTCCAGCTTGTGCTGGAAAGTGGGGACACCAATGTTAAACACAAACAACTCTAAGCCCCTTAAAATACTCCCAACTGTCCTTGAGGGACTAACTATAGTTTGCTTAATGAATACATCTCCCAGCATGCCCTGTCCCAGCGACCCTTCTGTCCCCACTTGTGTTTGAGATGATTTTGTTTGAGGATCAAATGTCCCTTTATGAAATGCTACCTGTCCCCTTACGTCCCTGGTTCTGTTATGGGCTCAGACTTAGGTTGTAAGTCTGATGTAGGGAGTTGTACGTGGATATAGAGTTGCTTAAAAAACAGCCCAGGGGAAATAGGAGAACGGCTTCCTGGTTTTTCTAGTCGATTCTGTTCTTGATCCAAAATGAGGACAAATAACATGGGTGACCCTGCTTTGCCTGCTTCCTTTATAGGCCTTTGTGTTGTTTTGTTTCTGGGAGCAGAACAAACCTAATACAGGACTGTGCTTTTCAAATCAACTGCACTGCCACCGTAGTTTAGCAGGATTCCCCCCAGACATCTGACCTACTGCTGCTGCTTATATTGTTCTTTTTACTTATTTTCCCTGGTATTTTCAAGAGTTATTAGTTATGAAGTTCTGTTGACATGCCCGCCAAGAGGCTTACGCATCCCTTCCCTCCTCATCCAGCTACCTGGAGTCCCACACTCCATCTTAGTCACATAATAACCAGTCCTTAGCTCTTCCTTCCTCCAATCTCTCCCCACTAGACCAAAATAATGACAGATCATCTTAAATACCACTTTCATTTTGTCCCCATTCTTCAGAAGAGCTGATAATAACTTTCCACTCGCTAACAAAATAACTTGAAGCAGTTTATCATTTCCTGCCTTGTCTTTCAACGCTGAAGTTTTTGTTTGCTGTTTTTGAATAAAACCTTCTATCATCTGAATCAGCCTTATCACCCTCTACTGAGCCGTCCTTCCAGCCCAGGGGGCCCTGTCACACCTCCTTAGCCATTTCTCCTTGTTCTGCCTTCAGCTCTCTGCTCCTGCTGGGTCTCTCCTTTCTGGAACAGCCTCTCTGCCTTCTAAATCCCACCATCTTTCAATGCCCGCCTCACATCCCAACTCTTTCATGTAGCAGATCCTTAATTATTTTGCATTTATTTTCTCTACCTGACATTTTAACTATTTAATTCACATAGTTTTGTTCTTTAATGTTCCCAGCTCTCTGTATAATTCATAGCTTAGTCACAGAGTGCAGAGTTTAAGGATGGTTCTGAATTTTGATTTTTTATACTCTGTTTAGTTGGTGTGCTCCCTAATTAGACTTATTTTACTTGTTAAAATCAAAGATCACATCCCTTTAATTTCTCTGAGGTCTCATGCTAAGTTGTACTGTGCTTTGCATACACCATGTACTGGAGCATTTTTAAAAACAAATATATGCTAATGTATAGCTGAATGAATAACAGAGAAGAAAGTAGTGTGAGAAGAAGAGTAAAGAGGAAGTTACATCTTAGCATGAATTTTTCTTTCTCTTAAACTGGCCTAAGTTTCTAAATGCATATATTCAACTGGTCATCAGATATTTTTAAAGTATCAAATATTCTCATTCAAATTTGAAATTTAAAGACAATGCAAATAAGAGCATACAAATAGCTTTGTGTTGTATAACAAGAAACTATCTCACATGGTTCAACAGCCAAGGGCCTATCCAGAAACCTTTGACTCTAGCAAATTTTACATTAAATTATCTAGAAAGGTTAGAAGGATGTCATAAGGGTTCAAAACCTCATGGATGCAGTTAAAACCTCAATATAACACATGCTGTGGGGACCTTGTAATTCTGTGCCCGGAATACCAAGAGCTCCTTCGAGCAGTTAGGCTGTGACAAGACAGACTACCTCACAGCTGTGATGTTCTTGGTCCGGGAGCCAGCCACCTGCTTGACTACAGGTTGCCAGGAAATTTCTCAATTTCTCTTCTGGGATTGTTCTAGGAAATTTTTTTCATCAATTTTGATTCTCTGACTACAGGAGGTATACCAGGGGGCATGCACAGCAGGCACAGTATTCTGCTTCTCAGTGCTGGAAAATACTCGTATTAAATAACTGTTCTCAGAAATCAGCTCTTCTTATACATGAGTAATTAGGGTGGTGCTAATTTCAATAAGTTTTAAATAAATACAGTACTTACCTGCATAGCAATCCTCTTCAACAATGCATGCTTCTGGACCTCGGCAATGTCCCCAACTGCCAAACCAATCTGAAGTACAACACAGCATTGAATCACTACCAGTTTAGTGGCTCACCTAAGAATGCATTAAGGTCTCTCTGGCTACAGTGGACCTGTAATTGCCTAGTGGTGGCCTCAAAAGACTTTGCTAATGCGTCTTACAGAAACTGCAAAGCCTATATATACCTTTGCAACAACGATGACCACATTGGTGGGTCCAGTAACCTGAAGTGAAATCATGAAAAATTAAGACATCCAAATTACCCTGGAATTGATTTTAATTTAAAATTAAAATATGTTATTTTTGGAGAGGACAGGGGTGATGTGACATCAAATGCTGTTGGTATAGCCATGCAACACGATTGCAGACCCCAGGAGTTTAGCATCTAAGGTGAACAAGAATGACTTGACAACACGGAAAAGCGAAAAATTAACGCAATGAAGGAATTTATATCTCACATGTTTGGCAGAAAAAGGTATACTTTAGGGGTGAGTGCAACTCTGGTAAAAATCTAGAAATCCATGGCTAGAGAGAATTAGGTGACGGGAAGCTATCAGCTCAGCTCCACTCAATCCAAATTAAATCAGCTAACAAGCGCTCACTCTTGCACTATTTGTTAGACACTCAGGACCTGTCGATGCTGAGCCAGCCCCCTGCATGCTGCAGCCAGAGAGGAAAAGCCAGCGCAGGCTCTCAAGGAGCTCAAAGTCAAGTCAGCTCCACGAGAGAAGGGCTCTGTCTGTCTGGGTCACCACTGTACGCCCGGTGCTAGATTAGAGCAGGGCACCTAGTAGGTACACAAAACAGCCACTGAATGAAACCACAGTGAAAGAGTATGTTCTAGGATGTGCAAATTAGCACTGAGAACCATATATAGTCAGCAAGTAGGTTTTATTTGGCAGGATGATGTTTTTTGCTTTTTAATTTGCAAGCCTTGAGATGGGCATTCTCTCTACTTTAGATCAGCCCCATCAAAACCAACTGCCTCATAACTGCTGCTTCATGCACTAAAGATACTGGCCTGGGCTCTGAAGACATCAGAGCTTGTGAGTCACAGAATGGATCAATTACTAATATTTAGTAGTAGCTAACATTTATTGAAGCTAGCCCTGGCAGTCTAGTGGTTAAGATTCCATGCTCTCATCACCACATCCAGGGTTTATTTTCTGGTCAGGGAACCACACCACCCATCTGCCGGTTGTCGTCCTGTGGGGGCTGCGTGTTGCTGTGATGCTGAAAGCTATGCCGCCAGTATTTCAAACACCAGCAGGGTCACCCATGGTGGACAGGTTTCAGTGGAGCTTCCAGACTAGAGACTAGGAAGGACCCAGCCACACGTTTCCAAAACAACTGGCCATGAAAACCCCATGGATATCAGCGGAGCATTGTCTGATAGAGCACTAGAAGGTGAGAGGATGGCGCAAAAAGACCAGGCAGGGTTCCGCTCTGCTGTCCACAGGGACGCTAGGAGTTAGAATTGACTTCACGGCACTAACAACAACAAACATTTACTGAATGCTTATGATGTGTCAAGCACTGTTTTAAGTGCTTTGTATTAGCTCATTTCATCCTCACAACAGCCTAGGAAGCAGGTTTTGTTATTATCTTTCTTTGATTTGTGTCATCAAAACTATGATAACACAAGAAAGGGGCACCCGATGCAGACTAGGGCGATTCGGGTTAGGGGAGCTGGTTAAGGAAGTCTGCCCAGGAAAGAGGGTGCTTGAACTGAGTGTTGAAAGCTTAGAAAGAGTTAACCCAAGGTGGGAGGGCTTTCCAGGACGAAGAACAGCCCGTGCAGAGCCCAGGAAGCAGGAAAGAAAGCCTGGCACACCCAGTGAATGTGAGTGGTGCATGTCTGGGCAAATCCCGGGAACAGTGGGGAGATGGGTGAGATCTGAGTAAGATCCAGATCACAAGGACCCTGACATGCTATGCTGACAGGTTTAGACTAGATTGAAGCTTTTGAAGAGTCATAGAAAAAATTTCAAAGAGCCACTGATGGACCCAGCTTTTCATTACCAAGACATCACTGGTGACAATTTGCAGGAAGGATTAGACTAGATTAGAGGAGTGAGAGGAGACAGATGCTCTTCAGTCTACTGCAGCAATACAGATGAGGAACAGGAGGGGCATGCCAACCGGAAGTAGGTTTAGGAGGCAAACATTTTTTGGAAGAACTGAGGAAAAGCGGGTGGGTGGATCTAGAATATCTTCCAATGGTCTGAGTCAGATGAAAGTGCTACTGTGAGGCAGTAGCAGAGTTTGAAGGAAAGAGAACATTGTCAGTCTTGGCTCTGTTGGTTTGATTTTTCTCTGGAACATGCAGGTACAGATGCTCAATGGGTCCTGGATATGTGGATCTTGAGTATGGCACCAATCTGTACTACTGCTATGCCAAATTCCCTTCTAGATACTTAACTTCCAAAACACAAGTGATTCTAAGAGAAGAATGTGGGCTTTATGTCCTTCTTTATTATTCTCAGTGCTATCTTTTTATTTTTCTAGGTCACCAAAATTAAACTCTGGAGTTGTATCAAGTAAGTCAATCAAAAAATTAAGTAGTCTGTATAATTTTTTCTTTCCAGAAACACTGTCTAGCATAGTCCCTGGTACATAGTCAGACTCAGAAAAAGTTTCTTGAATATGTGCATGTACACATAAATGAACAAGGAAAAAATATGCACTGTAATGCCAGCTAGTGCTCTCCAAGGACCTGGGACATACTTCTGCCTGCATTGGCCAAAACGCTTATGGCTGAAGCAAGTTCTCTGTGGAAGGGTACATTCACATCTGCTGAGGGGGTCCAGCCTTTGACTGGTTTAGAGGTGGCACCTGAGGGCCAAAGATGCCCTCTGCATGACATGCTCTTCCCCACTTGAATCTCTGGTCAATGAGAAATTCGAGGGCAGAGACGAGGTCTTAATCCTTTGCTCCATGAAGGTCTCTGCCTAACCTTTGACCTCCACCCCAACCTCAAAGCAGCACACACCATCTTTATTTCCTGTTCTGCTCTGTGGTTCTTCATAGCATTTATCACCCCCATGACATCATGCTACACATTTCTTTGTTTACTACTTAACTTCCTGACTAGTTTATAATCATGTAAGGACTGGGTATCGGTCTGTTTCATTTTCCACTGTTTCCTAGCACCTGGAGCAGCGTCTGGCATTTAGTAGATCCTTGATAAGTATCCTCCAAGTGAATGCATCTTTGCATCCCCTGTGCTTCATGCCGTGCCTGGCACACCCCAGGCACTAAACAAATGCTAAATGAATGAATTTCATAGCAGTCCCTTTTTCCCTTCATGGAGGGAGATTAAGGAGGCTAAGAATAATTATCATTATTAAATGCCCCAAATGATCAACAAACAGAAAATATAGGGATAAATTACTTACAAGTAAATTCATGAGGGCAATTGGGACAAACATTGTGAAGATAATAAGTTGTGCAAAAGACAGAACTGGATATGTCAATTCATTTCTCAAAAACGGTTCTAGGAAGGCATCGCGATAATTGATATCTCCTAGCATCATGCTGAAGGTCTGGATTATAGAAAGCAATGGAGAGCTGAAAGCATCCTGAGAAAAGACAGTAAGGTGAAAATGAAGTGCAAAATGCAGATAATGAAAAAATGCTTCCTGGAGAGTAAAATGATAAAAATCATATTTAAAATATTTTTTAAAAGTCATAGGACTATGGCTACTGAAATACAGTGACAAGAACTACTAATAAACTGGTGGTAAAGTCATCAAAAAGATCATGTCTGCACATATAACAAATCATGCATTATACATAAACTTTTTGACAATAGGAAAAGCCACTTAGTAAGACCGGCCCCGTGGCTTAGCGGTTAAGTGCGCGCGCTGCGCTACTGGCGGCCTGCGTTCGGATCCCAGGCGCGCACCCATGCACCGTTTGTCCGGCCATGCTGAGGCGACATCCCACATACAGCAACTAGCAGGATGTGCAACTACGACATACAACTATCTACTGGGGCTTTGGGGAGAAAAGGGGGAAAAAAAGGAGGAGGATTGGCAATAGATGTTAGCTCAGGGCCGGTCTTCCTCAGCAAAAAGAGGAGGATTGGCATGGATGTTAGCTCAGGGCTGATCTTTCTCACAAAAAAAAAAAGACTATATGTTTTCCTGCTATTATATCAAAATATTAAAATATTGTTGTATTATTAATTTTCTAGGCCATTAAGATTTAGGTATAAATATATATTTCCAATATTCACAGCAACAAAATCAACTGCTGATTCAACCGCCTCACCTGTATGCCCAGGAGCACATAAAAAGTCAGCCCGAAAGCCAGAAGAAGGAAGATAAATACGAATGTAGACCTCAACAAAGTCTTCATAATTACCTCCAACATAACGATGAAAATCCCACAATTTTCAAATCTAGGAAATTTTAAAAATTAAAATATTTATTCACTTTTCTGGTCAAAATGTATTTCATTCACTGTCAATGTTTATCATGTATGAGGTACCAGGTTTCTCAGACGAGATAATTGAGGCTAGTTACTCTTGAAATGGAGCCATGAGACTTCATGAATAGTCAAGTCTCATTTTCAAGCTGTTCATCCCACTGCTTTGTTTCTTCTTTTTTTTCCCTTCTTGTTAATGTTTATCTTTAACTGTTTTACCACTTGACCACTGGACATACTTCAACCAAAGTAGGAGAGAAAAATCATAGCTTCCCAGTATCAACGATAATGCTGCAACATGCTTGATAGAGGGATTAGAGATGAATTGTGCGATGCATCCAGTGGAGACTGATTAAATGAGCTCATATGCCCAAAGGCTCCTATCACAGGCCACCTACATATGACTTACCTTCCCCTTCCTCACAGCTTCCTGAGGTTTCCTTTTCGTCCCCCAGCAATCTACACTGTGATATGTTTGGGCAGATAAGGGGTGTGTCATCTGGCCACTAACTTGTAGTTTTCCTTTGGCAAACACAATTTGTTAAAAGAGGAGTCACAAGACTTTAAAGCTGAAAAGGGCTTCAGAGGTTGCAGAAACTAAGTTCCCAGAGATTTCCAGTAACTCTCTAAGGTCACTGATAATGACAAAGCCAAGGGAGTGGCGGCAGTGCCTGGACCTGTTTTGAAGCCCCTTGACCTCCAGGCCACTGCTCTTGCCGCCATATCAAGGGGCTTTCCAAGGGGCTGGGCTCAACCCCACAGCACTGTGCTCGTGACACAGCAATGCGGACAATACCATGGGAAAAATATGGTCCCCGAAGTTGAAAAGACTTGGGTAAACTGCCTATGTCTTGACTTACTAGCTGGGATCTTGGGCAAGTTACTTAACTCAGTGACTCCGCTTCTTTTATACACCACAGGTAACAACATTTACCTCTTGTTATTGTAAAGCTTATGTGAAATAACGTATTTAACTCAGCATCAGCAATTGTGGGAGGTAGGGGAGTTTAGCCCCTTTCCCTTCTAGAATTAGATTCTTTGGGCTTATTTCTTCTCTTCTCTATCACTATTATTCTCCATACCTATCATTTCATTTTGATTGTTTTAATCTAAAGTAAATGCTTACCACATAATACAGATAAAAGAAGAATAGCCAATACTTTTATTGCTGTTTACTCCCCACATTTAATCTAGATTGGTCTAGACCAGTGGTTCCTGACCTGGGGTGATTTTGCCACCAGGAGGATATTTGGCAGTATCTGGAGACATTTTTTGTTGTCACATGGATGCGGACAGGTTGCTACTAGTATCTACTGGGTAGAGGCCAGGGATGTTGCTAAATATTCTACAATGCACAGGATAGCACTCCACAACAAAGAATTATCTGGTCCCAAATTTCAATAGTGCCAAGGTTGAGAAACCCTGGTCTACACTCTGAACTCCAAACCTCCCTCCCCTTTTCCTTAATAGTATGTAAAAGACATCTTTACAGCTTAAAACAATTAGAGAAGGAAGAAGCCAGTTATACATTTATGGTACTTGAAACAGTTCTTCTTTTCATATTAAAAATGCCTAAAGGGGGCCGGTCCAGTGGCGTAGTGGTTAAGTTTGCGTGCTCTGCTTTGGCAGCCCGGGGTTTGCAGGTTTGGATCCCGGGTGCAGACCTACACACCACTTATCAAGCCATGCTGTGGCAGGCATCCCAAAAATAAAGTAGAGGAAGATGGACATGGATGTTAGCCCAGGGCCAATCTTCCTCAACAAAAAGAGGAGGATTGGCAACAGATGTTAGCTCAGGGGCTAATCTTCCTCACCAAAAAAGAAAAAAAAAAAGCCTAAAGGACGTAGAAATCATTCAAGCTGGTTTTACCTCTGAAGGTACATTAAGAAGTTTATCCAAGAGAAGTATATAGCAATTGCTCCACAATGCCACTGCACATGAGCTGGTATACCAATGAACAAGGGTGACACAAAAATGATGCTTGTTGTGTAGATAATCCATTCAAGTACATTGCAAAGATCCAAGAAGTAATTCCTTTTCTAGAGTTGAAAAGAATGAAGAATTACCATATGTAGACACTGAGACCTGGCGTCTTATGGATGGTTATATATATGTAACCAGTAACAACATCTTCCTGGCATTGTAGTTGGAGAGGAGTTTAGGACCAAGGGGCCAGCTCCTGCCATTGTGGACTGAACTCAGAGCTCTGAGTACAGATCAGTGTTGGAAGTGACCCAACAGCCTCTTCTGTTGACCTGGCACTTTGGGAGTCTGATGTCTAAGGAAATCCTACAAGTTTCTGGGCTTTCCTCATAGAGTCCACTCCATCTTAAGGAAACTCCTGGGGGGCTACAAGTTGCTTTACTAATTCCTCTCTGCCTATACGCAGACACGCATGTGGATCTCTCAGGATACAAATAAACTACAGCTGCTTCTAAGAAGGTTTGAGACATGCTAAAATTTAATTACCATAATGATACAGTGTCATTTCCTATTCTTAAAGATGTCATGTTTTGGACATTAAATTTCCTGCAGACCGTTTAAATATCAGCAAGAAAGTGTGGAGATGTAATCTGAGAGAGAAATCTTATAACTTGATAGTTCAATTTAGACTATAATCTGCAATTGTCATCTTAAGAAAATGAAAATAATGACAAGAGAGTAAATAATATGCCCTACATCATTTAAGGTACAATGGAACAATACAGTCTAACTCTCAGAATGGTGACAAGTTACTGAAAGTATATACAGAAAAGTACTTGCAATGTGTCATATCAAACAAATGCAAAGCACTATTATCATCATCAACATTCTTTAATGCAAATATTCATCTGGCTCTATTAATTTTCACAGGATGTAAGGTGTTGTATAAAAGGTGTATGACTTATAATAAATAACCACAAAAAACATACCAAAAAATGAATAATAAAAGACTTTAAACCTCCATACAGAGAAATAAAAGATCGATGCCATTTATCAACCAAAGCAAGAGCCTGCAGATAATTTACATAATTCTTGTGTCTGATCTGAACTTGGTTCACTCATTAAAAAAAAGAGTCCGAAGTAAAAATTATGCTATAAAAAGTTCCCAAATTTTATTATAACTTGAAATTTCATCCAATAAAGAAAAGCATTTCTTAAAAAAGGAATTCAAAGAAAGGCCTATAGAAATGGAGTCTTGGGCCAATAAGTTCTTTTATAAACATTTACATTCAAAACTATCAAATCCAGGTGTCGGCCCCATGGTGTGGTGGTTGGGTTCGGTGCATTCTGCTTCGGCGGCCCGGGTTCCCAGGTTCAGATCCCGGGCACAGACCTACACCACTTGTCCGCCACACTGTGGCAGCAACCCACATATATAGTAGAGGAAGACTGGCACAGATGTTACCGTTAGTTCAGGGCTAATCTTCCTCAAGCAAAAAAATGAGGAAGATTGGCAACAGAGGTTAGCTCAGGACTAATATTTCTCAGCAAAAAAAAAAAAAAAAATCAAATCCAAAATCTAGCTATTATGTTAGCAAAATATTAAACTGATAAAAGAAAACACAGAAAAGTCCTTCACAAATTCATTTGTAGCTAGGCAGACCCATAAGGACTAGTAAAACTGGAACATCTCTGTTTCAGATATATTAAATTAACTAAGTACCATCCAATGCATGGACCTTATCTAAAATCATGTGATTTCTACATTTTGAGAAGTTTATGCTTGATATTTCCAATCTATACATTCATCAAGATATGTGATTTTATTGACATATATTATTTCAATAATAGTTTAGCAATTAATTTACATTCTGCATATTAAAATAGTTGCAACTTTAGAGATATAAAATGCGTGTGTACCTGTTGGAAAATTTGGGCCACTTCTTTGCAATATCCAAATATACTTGATAAAAATACTAAAATCATGCAAACTCTTATAGAATATGAATTCTGAAACAAAAAATGTGTAAGACAAGCAGTTATGAGGGACATAAAACAACACTTTAACTTCTTCATAATTTCCACTATTAAACATTTATTTTGTTTTTCTTTTGCTTCATTTCTACGTACTGTCCATATCTGCCTGAAAGAGAAAACTACTGTGATGTCAATATAAAGATGACACATACTTATTTCATAACGTCCTTATTAAGAGTGGTTTAAAAGTGACAAATGGAAACCAGACTTTTGGTGGTGAACACTACGTGGTGTATACAGAAGTCAAAATATACTGATGTACACCTCAAGTTTATATAATGTTATAAACCAATGTTACCTCAATAAAAAACTGCCAATAGGATTCTAAAGGAATATGAATCTATAGACTCACATAAAATTTTTTTTATTGTGGTCAAATACACATAACATAAAATTTACCACTTTAGAAGTTTTATATTTTACTTGTACATTTGCATTTTATAATGTACAATTCTGTGGCATTAAATACATTCTCAATGTTATACAACCATCACCACTATCTAGTTCCATAACTTTTTCATCAACCCAAATGGAAACCCTGTACCTACTAAGCATCACTGTCCTCTCTCCATAATCCCTGCAGCCACAAATCTGCTATCTTATAGAACTATTTTAAACTTTTATACTTCAGCATTCAAGCTAGCATTGCCTACAAGTCAATTCATTTTAAATTAGTTTACAAACTCACTTCTTGACCTATTTATTTATATTCTCTGTCATTCCACAAAGAATTTTAGGAGAAATTGCTACCATATATGAATTCTGTAGGCTATTTGTAATCATAAAAGTCTTGACAATTCAGATTTATTATAGGATTAGTATCCCAAAGAAAAAAAACACATTTTTGATAATCCTTTATTTTAAAAGTTGAAATTTGAAAATACCTTAGTGTCTAATATTTCTGAATGATCACTAGTTTCGTTGATGATTCCAGTTGAATTGAAAGCCACACCTGGCTTTATATTGACAATAAGAAAGGTCATAGGCAAGAGACCAAGACAGTAAGATCCTAGGTTCATAAGATGGGCTCTAAACCCATAGGCCATCCTACAAAAAATAAGCAAACCATAATTGAGTAATTTCAACCAAAAATATTTACTTAAGATAACTGTTGAAAAAGTAATTATAATCTCTCTCAGAAATCTATGTGGTAAATTCACTGAACTTTAGAACTAAGATCTTCGAATTCACCTTTTTTATTTCCAGAAAAGGAGTCTCAACTTCCAAGCAAATCATTACTTATTTAAAATCTCGTGAATTATTGGAAGAACAGAGACTTAGTTCACACCTTCTGACTCCAAGTTGAGTGCTCTTCCCAGGAACACACCTGTCACTTCATTGTCCCCCACACTGCAGGGCCCAGGAATGCGTCTTCATGTCTTATATAACGACTCCCCCCCCCCAAATATTTCATTTAATGTCAAAGATAAATCGATGCGTTTTTCAATACCAAATTTGCCATCGACACGTTTCTTTTTCAAAGTGTAAAATATTAAAATAACAAAATCTGAAACATTAAAATACCATTAAAACAATTATTTAGAAGACTTTTAATAAATTTAATGGGGGCATCATTAAAAAGAAATACTCCTTAATACCCACCATTTCATAAGTAAATATTCTTTACACACAGGATGGTTGAGAAGCTCTATGCGGTTATGTTGCACCATTGCCTGAGAAGTAAGGAAAGAGCAATAAAAAGACAACTATATTAAACTTTTAAGAATAAACTAAGTTTTTGTTTGCTGGTTTTATAACTTTATTTTGATATCATAAAAGTAACACTTATTTAAGAATATTTGAAAAATGGAAAATTATATCAAGAATATATTTTTTTAAAAAAACACAGGCTAGGGTCCGGCCTGGTGGCGTAGGGGTTAAGTTCCTGTGCTCTGCTTCAGCAGCCCGGGGTTTGTGGGTTCAGATCCCGGGCGCGGACCTACACACCGCTCATCAAGCCATGCTGTTGCAGGCGTCCCACATACAAAATAGAGGAAGATGGGCACAGATGTCAACTCAGTGACAATCTTCCTCACCAAAAGGAAAAAAAAGAAGAAACACAGGCTAGAATCAATCATTTTATACAGATGCAAGTATTTGATCAGTTTGTTTTATTTCAATTTCTCACTAGTGGAGACAGCGTAAGCTTTTTAATCTTACACAGAGTTACACTGGAAAGGACATTAAAGATAAATAAGCAAGAGCTATACCCTTGTTCTTTCCTTGAAGAAACAGGCTTATCTTTCTAGAAGGATTTTAAATAGTAGAGCACCCAGAAATAGTAGTTAAATTAGCTTGTGGATTATAAGGTTTCATGAGTTATTGGGAACTACTAGTATTTATTTCAAAATTAATTTTTAATTATTCAAAAACACAGAGAGGGAGCGACGTCAGCAAGATGGGGGAATAGGAAGCCCCAGAAGCTCCTTCCTCCACAGAGACAGGAGACATCAACTTAACAACAAGACACGGACAAACTGCCATTGTGATAAATCCAGAAACCGGTTAAGAGGCTCCTGCAACCCAGGTGAGCCTGTAGCCAAGAAGAACCACATCAAAGACAGTAGGAAAATTCATGGCATTTACTAGCCATAGCCCCTCCCCCAGGACAGAGAAGAGAGACCAAGAGAAAACTCCCAACCCAGCTTCTCCCTGAGGAGGGAAGGAGTGGAACATATGTCCAATGTTCTAACTTTTCAGGGGGGCTGGTCCATCTAGACTTTCAGACTTTGGTGCACAATAATATTCTGTACCAGATCAGCTATCCCTCCAGAAGAAGCCCCCTCAGCTCCTCAGATCTAAGGTGAGGTTCTCTATGTTATTAAGACACTACCCGGGACCAGCCTGGTGGCACAAGCAGTTAAGTGCGCGCGCTCAGCTGCGGCGGCCCGGGGTTCGCCGGTTCGTATCCCAGGTGCGCACTGACGCACCGCTTGGCAAGCCATGTGTGGCGGCGTCCCATATGAAGTGGAGGAAGATGGGCACGGATGTTAGCCCAGGGCCCATCTTCCTCAGCAAAAAGAGGAGAATTGGCAGATGTTAGCTCAGGGCTGATCTTCCTCACACACACAAAAAAAAGACACTATCCAATTGTGTGCCGATATGTCGCCCACTGAGTACAGTGTACTTATTCAAGTCAGCTGTTTCTTACAAATTATACTGAGTCTATATTATATACAGTCTATTTCTTTTTAGAAGCTACAAAGATTTTATTTCCTCCTGTTCTCATTCTGGTAGTGGAGAAAATAAACTCGTTCTGACAGAAGTTTAAATTACAATTTAAAGAAAAAACCCACATACATACACAAAATTTCTCCTCAGTATATCTGTAGTGTAGTTACTTTTAGGTCACTTGGCTACTGAGTCTGAACTATAATAACAACTGCAAAGTCTCACACACTCCAGTGGAGCTAAAATGCTTTACATGAGCAAACGTGAGAGTCAGTTGCCATCGCCAGCCTCGGGGGTGTAAAAATTCACATGACTCTTCACCCTTCACGTTCCAAGTACTCAGTAGGCCTTCTAGATTTCACTTTAGGTGATGGTTGGTACCATGGTCTACACCAAAGGCTTCCATGTAGGGAAATGAATTCATTTAAGGTGGATGAAAATTTCTAATTGCTCTAGACCAGTGCTGTCCAATAGAACTTTCTGCAATGACGGAAATGTCCTATAACTGTGCTGTTCAATAGGAGAGCCACGAGCCACACAGACTACTGAGCACTTGAAATGTGGCCTCTGCAAATGAAGAAATGAATTTTTCACTTTATTTAATTTTTAATTAATTTTAAGTAGTCACATGTGGCTAATGGTCACCATTTTAGAGAGCACAGATCTACACCCTAGACCACATTCTGCAAATCCAACCATCCTATACGTTTTCTTTTGCATGCACACAATTTTAATTTGTTGCCAATATTTATACAAGCCTGGGCTCCCATTCTCACATGGCAACAATTTATGGCAATCAGTAGCTGCTATCCTTTTATACCAGGAGCCATGTTTCTCACCTGTTACCTGTTTCCTCTGCGGTTATGTGATACCCCTGCTGTAGGCCACAGTGGATCATCTGCACAGACTCTATTGCCTCATCTAGAAATATAAAAGTACTCTTCGGAATAGAGCTGGTTTAGAGCAAGTCTCTCGGAAAATTTGGGTCCATACTGTGCATTTAGGGCCTACATTCAGATTGGGTTCACTCTTCCAGAAGGATCAAAGAACTTCTGAAAGGTCAGAGTTGACTGTGGAGCCCAGTGGTTGGCTGAACGTGCAAGCGATGACTGTAAAATGCCACCCCCTGCATTTTCCTGTGGTTTACACTGGAGGAAACCCTTCAATACGTATGTCTATACTTAGGTGGTCGGAGATGGGGAGCAAGTGCTGACTGTCAGCCTGTGTTGTCCATGGTTTACTGGTTTATTGTCCAGGTTTACATGACCATTAGGACGAAAGTAATCAAGAGTGTAGGACTTTAATGGGACCAAATTATAGCAATTGTAGAAAATGACTGCTTTCTTTACTAAAAAATAAAGGATTGGGCCACATGGCATAGACATAAAACTATAAACCTGGAATTCTCTTCAGGCCCCTTCCTAGAACTATTGTACCAAAACACTACGGAACCTGTGTAGAAACGACCCGGATAATGAAAACACTGGACTTACGTTGAGAGTTGAAAGAGGCTCATATTTAGCATCCTGTACAAGTGCTACTTTTTTGGTGAATTCTAATGGACACTGAAGATATCGGAAATTATACTCAATCTGTAGGAGATATAATTTTTAAAAATTACAGACTAGTACAGAGCCCAAAAGTAGTTCTGGACAATCAAATACACAAGTCTACAATTCTGCTGAAAATTAAGTGATTCAAATAAAGTTGAGTCATTTCACGTGGAGAAAAGTAAATGAAGTTATTGCGTATTTGTTTCGAAAAATAAATATCCTAGAAAGCTGTTATTCGATTGCTTTATAACGCATAGTCATGGAAAAAGATGAATTCTCAAAAGATCACTTAGACTTTTTAGAACTTCATTCTTCAGGCATATTACCCAAGAAAATATAAAGGCTAGAAATGACCCTAAATAATGCTTATAAGGAACAATTAGAATGTTGGGGAGAACCAAGGATCTAAGGAAAAAATTCTCTCACAAATAGATAATATAATAATATGACAAAGGAAGACAATAATAACCATCCTTTGAGATTGTGGAACTCTAGTAAGATTATTTTTAATATATTTTTTAAAGAATTATAATAAAATAAACTTCAAAGTATTATGATAAAATAAACTTACATGGTAGTCTCGGCAGGACTTGTCTTCAGTGGAGGGTATTATGCAGCAATCTAAAAGTACCTTTGAGAGAGAAAAAATGGCTAAGATACTGGGCAGGAGACTACATAGGAGACAGGATTTGATCCCATTTCTAAAACAACACCTGAGATATTCCCTTCCCCTTCCTTTACTTTTTCCATCTCAGATAAACTATAATCCACATCATTCAGGAACAAAATTTAAAACATAAAATGTTACAACTACTACTGGGTGCCTCAGAAATACCAAGTGATTCAAAAAATTACCATGCACTTCAGAATGAAACTGCATTTACTAAAATTTGAGTAAGAAATATTCCATGAGTTTTGCCTAAGATTTGATGTCTTTCTGGGCTTGTAGAGAATATATAGATCACTAAGGATTCCTCTGCTCAGTATCTTATAGCGATAATTTATTGTCCCCAGTCGAGATCTTTCAGTTGAGCAATGGGTCTTTCTTTGGTCTAGGTCCCGTCTCCTGTAATGCTCGAGCCTGGAGTACTGTGTTTGCTTCTGGACCTGGCTTGCTAAGCAACACTGACAACTATTCATCCAGAGTGGTGTAGACAGGATAGCAGGGGACAGACGTTACAAGGAGAAATGCTGAAGGCTCTCTAGTTGCTTAACAAAGGGAAGAACACTTAAGAGGTCATTAGAGCTGCCCCTAGGGTGTGTGGAAATAAATATTTTTGAGGGGTCCCTGTCTACATAAACAATTTGAGTCACTCCAAATCTGTGTGTTGGCACAAATTCATGATCCCAACGAAGAAACACAGCCCAGTCAGGCTGCCCTCCTAAAACCGAATCTGGACGAAGTCTCTGTTGGTGATCAGGCAGTGGTACCAAGGGTCATAATAGATATCACGAAAAATAAAGACAAAACTAGTCAGTAGGGCTGTGCAAGGCAGAACCAGAGAGGCAGGCCAGGTTGTTAGGTTTGAGAGCTTTGTAATAATCAGCATAGGCAAAATAAAGGACGGGCTGCCTGGGGAGGGGGGCGGGTACAGAGGAAGGAATTATGTAAGTCATTCAAATGTGTGATGTGAGGCTCAACTAAAGACCTTTAAGTTCCCCTATTTAAAAAAACTTCACAATACTAAAATAATATAAAGTCATCATAGAAAATGAACTAGAAATATATAGTAGCATAAAGAAGAGAAGAAACACCGATCATAATCCCACAACTGTGATAATTCTTATTAACATTTTGGTATTAGTTCTTCAATTCTTTTCTATGTTTTCCATATGTGCATATTTCTAACATATTTTTTTTACTATTATCAATAATGCTGTAAGAAACGTCGTCATTGTATATAAATCTGCCTCTACCTCTGATTCAACAATTGGAATTACTGAATAAGAAAGTCTGAGATCGTTTCAATCCTGAATATTTATGTGCCCTTCAACGAAATTTATGCACCTAAAATGCTAATCTATGAACTGGACTGGCCCCAATTTCCACTAGATATTATAAAGAAAAAATGCACTCTGAGCACTTAGCACATACTAAATGCTTACTGAACCCATAAAAACAGTACGTGTTAGTAGCAGTAGTACTAATAACCACACAAGCAGTATAAAAATAGTAGGACGTATAATATGGGCCAAGCACTATCCTGAACACTTTATATAGTTTACCTCTAATGTTTGTAATCACTTTCCAAGATCAGTATCAGCATCACTGTCTTAGAGATTTTAAAGAAAATAGAAAGTAAAGCTCAGAGAGGTAACATGCCTTGAAAGCAGCACAGCAAAAGGCAGAGCCAGGAGTAAATCCCAGGGCCACCAGGCTCCAAATCTAGACCTCTGTCCCCTGTGTCACTATGTCTCACTGCCTCCTCCAGTATTTGAATGTACTTTTCCCTATGAATGGCATTCGAAGTCATTCCTCTTTTCTTGATTCTTCTATGTCTGTCCCAATCCTCAAATCTCAACTTTCCCAAGAGGTCTTTCATCTGCATCCTTTAACACTCACGTGCTCAACAGTGTGTCAGTGTTTCTCTTGTGGTGGGTGTCAGCCACGTGCTGGGTGTATGTTTAATCCAGCACAGAGAATCACACATTCAGAGGCCCACAGGGACCAGGCACATAGTGTAAACGTCTAAACTGTGCCAGCCTTAAGAGCTCGTTCCCAGTGTTCTTGAAATGTTGGCTCTCTTGGGCTGGCTTTTATCTTCACAGTTTGGATAGAGATAGAGGCACATATAGAGAACTCTCTCTCTACTACAAGGAAAGCAATTGCCCAAGCATGACAGTATGTGTCAACTAATGCCAGGCATTTGAGCTAAGTATACAAGAGGAAGAGGTGGGGTGCGCTTGCCCCATCTAAAGGAAGCAGCTGCTCCTCGCCCAGCGATTCCTGCCTTGCGAGAAGGTAGGCCCAGTCCCCAGATCTTCTCATCGTTACAGGACGCCAGATATCTGGATCCTTAAGGGAAGCATCCTGGTTTTAAATGTTAGCAACTAATGCAAATTTGAAACAATGACACACATGCCAAAAAAAACGAATCTAGAGGTTCTATTCAGCCAGCAACCACCATTAGCAGCCTCTGCTCTAGACTTGGATTATTTAAATAAAAAAATCTGTTGACCATATTTTCCTATATTCCACATAACAACTAATAGAATTCTTTAATTGAAGTAGGTCCTTATTAAATAACTGTTGGGTCACTTCCTTTATAGCCTATGGAAAACTAGAAATTTTATTTAAAGATGGAAATAACTACTATTTAGGTTGTGATTACAACAATAAATCCTCACATTATATATTATATGCCAAGCATATACTCAGAAGCAGTTTTGTTTGGAAAACTTACTTTCATGCATTCAGGGAGGTATTCTACCATTTCTGTGACTGGACATCTATTGCTTGGAGAATAATGACTAAAAACTTTCAAACAGTCTTCCCATCTGTAAAAATATATACATATATAATAATAATAAAACAAACACAAGTCTTAATCCTTCTGTTCTGCACAACAGCAAAACTACCAGTTGAAATTCCAAATTATATCTTTAGGAGAAACCTGAATTGGTTCCAGTGGAACCAATATGTGAACCATGATTAATCCATTAATAGGGTCTTTGTCCATTAATGGAAATTAGAAATGTGGGCAAATTTCAGTATGGCTGTTATAATCACTGTTCTCTTTCCCTAAACGCCTTCTAAAGAAGGAAGGCTTTTACCTTCTTTTTCTCCTGAAATCATGAACTAGTATGAGGTGGTCATGTTGGGTAGGGATATCCACATTCACCTACAAAAGCAACATAGTACTGGCACATAACACTTAAGATTTAATCCATGCATATATCATGTATTGAATTAAACTACAAAAATAACATGTGTCAAGTACATTAATAAGCATGAGTTCAGCCAGAACATTGCAGAGTCTGCCCCTTTCTTCATTGCCATCCAGTTGGATGGGATAAGAAGATGTTTATGATGCCAAGGAGGAACTTTACTTCCTACAACAGGAAGTAAAGAAGAGCTCATTTACCTCCAAGATTCTATCTATGTAAGAGGAGACTACTTCTAAAAACTACCCAGATAAATTTTCTGTTAACCCTACTGGTAAAATCCATCTAGAATATCTGCATAATCAGTAGAAAAGTTCTGGTTGCATACTTGCATTGACTAGTGTTTCAAAGGAATGATCAGCAGGGAAATCTGGAGACTGTCCATGCTCAAAAACAAAGGCTTGATCTGCTTTGAATATGAGATTGTTCACCTCTGTGTCCACTACTGGGTGATACCGGGTCCTTGTGAACATCTATCTGTGATTAGATAGAAAAGTTTATGTTCAAGATATGGGACAAACTACCCTCCAACTTCATCATTCAAA